CCCGCTAGGCAGGCCCTGAGGCTGGAGGGCACCACCCCCTCCTTCTCCCATATCCATAACCACAGCAGCCCCTGGGCCGGGAGTCGCCTGGGGATCTGGCAGAGACAGGGATTTTGTGTCCCCAGCTTGGCTCTGATGCTGCTGTGGGGCTGGGGGCTGGGTGGCTGGAGGGAAGAAGGGGAAGGGGTCATGAGGAAGGTCTAGAGGTTACAGGTTCCCTGTCTGGGTTCATTTAACCTCTCACTTGCTCTGTGGCTTTGGGCAAGTCACTAAACCTCTCTGAGCCTTGGCTTCCCCATCTAAATCAGGGATAATAAGGACCCCACCGTACTGAGTGCCATGCTGGGAGCAGGAGGGAATCTGTGTAAGAGCCTGGCGCTGCGGCTGGTGCAAAACAAGTGGCTTTTATTTCTTCAGGATTATTATCATTGCCACAACCTTGTCGTCAGCATCATCAATGGTCGTCGGGACCCCCCAGTCCTGGGCTGGTGCGGCAGCCTTACAGGTCCCTGGAGGAACCATGGGTGGTGGGGGGGGCTGAGCCCAGCGAGGGAGTGGCTGAAGGGGAGCTGGTGCAGAGCTCCATGGGGCGAGGCTGACCCAAGCCCAAGGCTGAGCCCGGGGATCTTGGTCACGATGGCAGGTCAGGCCTAGGGGCCAAGGGCAGCTCTGTGCAAACCTGTTCTCTGACTTTGCTCTGCTCTTTCTGTGGGAGTGCATGGGGCGCTGGCCTGGCAGCAGGCGCCCACTGGGCAGCAGGTGCAGGGCGGCCAGCTCCGATTCTCACGCTCGCAGTGCCCACACGCCTGGCACCCCTGCCCCTGGCCTGTCCTGGCGGTGTGCGCCCAGCCTTCCCTGCCTGGCTGCGTGCCCCCTCCTCCAGGAAGCCCTCCAAGGCAGAGACACCAACCCCCAGGACACAGGCCAGGGCTCCTGGCCATCAGGGTGAACCCCCATTATACAGAGAGGGAGGGACGCTCAGGAGCCGGGGTGCTCCCAGGTCGCACAGCAGGCCTGTGGGCAGAGACGGGCTCCATCCTGCATCCTTGTCCCCTGTCCAGGGCTCCCTATGTCCCTGCACGCAACCCATGTCCAGCACCCCGGCTTCCCTGCCTGTCCTGCAGACACAGCGTCCCCTTGGCCACCAGGTTGGAGCCCAGGGGATTCTCAGGGGCCACCCCACCCCACCTGGGTGCTCCTGGCAAGGTCAGGGGGCACTGGGAGACTCTAGGGCCAGGGTAGCCCAGTGGGTGGGACAGCTGGTGGCTGTACCTGCAGCCTGGCTCCCACGAAGCTCAGGAGCCTGCTCCCTGCTATGGTGACCTGCCCAGTGGGCTCACGGCAGGGTCACGCCTCCTCAGGGAAGCCCCCCCGGTAGCCCCTGGCTGGGTGAAATGCCCCTGATGCCCGGCCTTAGCGGGCAGTGGAACAGACTCCTCGGCTGCGGTGCCCAGCAGGCTGTCACTCAGCAAGGTGAAGGCTGCTCCGCTTCAGAAAGAGCCCCAAGTCCCCTGGGGAAAGCAAGGACCCGGAGTGGGCGGGCCTGGGGTTGAGTCCCCACCGCTATGATAAGGCTGCTGCCTGGTGCTGTGCCCTCTGAGCCGCGGCGCTCGGGTGGCCACTGGGGCTGGTGGTGCTGACCGTCTGCTGGGACGTCTGCAGGTCCAGCCCCCAGCACCGGGAAGGTGGCCAGTCCAAATTGAGATGTGCGGGGAGTGGGGAAGACTCTCCACTTTCGTGACTTTGCACGAGAAAAGAATGTAAAATGTCTCATTAGTAATCTTTATTACATGTTAAAATAATAATTTTTTGATAACTCAGGTTAAATAAAATACATTATTAAAATTAATTTCCCTTTTTTTTTTTTTTAACTTTTTCTCATTGTGACGACTGGAAAGGGGACTGTTCCCTCTGTGTCTCCTGGAGGGACTCCCATTCTGTTTCCGCTGGGCAGCACGGCCCTCGATGGCCATTGCTGGGTTCAGGTGGAGAAGCTGCTGTCCTGTCCTGTCCTGTCCACCCCAGGCTGCATAGCTCGGGGCTGTTTCCAGGGAGAGGACCTGGCAAAAACTCCGAGCCCAGGGCCAGCCTCTTAACCCCGGGATGCTGAGCAACTCCAGGGCAGACACTGCCCTCTCTGAGCCTTGCTTTCTGAGGTAGTGGAAGGAGCCTGGTCAGGGTTTTCAGTCAGTCCTGAGACTTAGGTCCCGCCTGCGGGGCTCCCCGGCTCTCCCACTTCCTGAAGCACCAGGCCACCTCACCGGCCTGGGATCCTGAGCTGAGCTCAGCCCCTCTTCCCCACCGTGGGAGGGGAACCGCGGTACTGATTTCTGTGGCTCAGGCCATGGCACTTGGAGGACGTCACAGCCATGTCCCTCCTGTCTCTTTGCCAGCTAGGGTCACACTCCTGGCCACCTCAGATCCAGCTGAGGGCCTCGCCACTCTCCTTCTTGCGTTTGCAAAGCGCTGGGGAGAGGGGCCTGGGTCAAGGCAGACTGTCCCAAGGCCGGGGCAAGGGCTCACTCCTGGCCCAGGTGCTCTGTGGCCCCAGGTACAGCTTAGCCTCGGGGGCTCCAGAGAAGGCTGGCCCAGGACGCCCAGCGTGCGGCCAGCTCTGGACCTGCATGCCCGCCATTCATCCCTTCATCTCAAAGCATCCACTGAGCACCTACTTTGTGCCAGGCACTTTCCTTGTAAATAGAGGTAGATCTGCAGACAAGCAGCTGCTGCCTCCTGGAAGGACGGGCAGGTAAAACCATAAGTGAACTAAGCGTATTAGCTGTCCTGTCCAGCACAGTAGCACGACCTCTGAGTGACTATTTGCATTGAAGTTTAATTGATTTCAATAAAATCAAATAAAATTCAGGTCCTCACTCACACCCACCAGCTACCACCTCTCTTTCTTTCTTTCTTTCTTCCTTTCTTCTTTCTTTATTTCTACTGGGTATTGAACCCAAGGGTGCTTTAGCTCTGAGCTACATCCCCAGTCCTTTTTTTTTTTTTTAATTTTTTATTTTGAGGCAGGGTCTCACTAAATTGTTAAGGCTGGCCTTCAACTTGCAATCCTCCTTTCTCAGCCTCCTGAGTTTTTAGGATTAACCGGCTGGTGCTACACTTCAAGTGCTCAATAGACATATGTGGCTGGTGGCTGTTTGAGTTCAGATACAGACCATTTCCCTCCTGGCCAGCACTGATCCTGTTAGAAGGGCAGGGTGATTTAAAGTGCTGGGTAGGTCTCCTCGAGGAGGTGAGCAGAGTTCTGATGAACAGGAAGGAGGGAGCCATGTGGGAATCTAGGGGAAGAGTGTTGCAGGCAGGAGGGATCAGCCAAAGTCCAGAGGTAGGATCTCCACGGCAGGGGTCAAGGAGCAGCAAGGAAACCACTGAGTTGGGACTAGATTGGTGAGGGATGGAGTAGGAGTTCACACCAGAGAGGAGCCCAACCCGAGGGCCTCCGCGGCCACGGTGAGGACTTGGGCTTTACCTGGGGAGGAAGGATACCGTGGGAGAGCCGGGAGTAGAGCGGCTCAGGGGCTGATTGTGTTTTGCCAAAACACCTCTGGGGCGGGCAGGGGCTGAGTCTGGAGATGCTCTGGGGGCAAAGCCACAGGGTTCGCTGGAGACCAAACCTGGGGCATAAGGGGACCAGGCAGGGAGGGAGCCCGGGTTTGTGGCCCTGGAGGGAGTGGCCGTGGTGTGATGGCCAGGGCGGGGCTGGGGAGGGACTGCCCTGCCGCCCTCCACGGCCCCTGTACTGGGGGTCAAACCCAGGGCCGCTAGCTCTAGGAGGGGCTCTGTCCCAGAGCCAGGTCCCGGGTCTGGGAGCTGGTTGTCCCCTGGGGTGGGGGGCACAGGCGTCCACCTTCAGGCTTGATGTCCCCCCCCCCACACACACACACTGTGCCCGGAAACTCAGGCCACTTACCAAGCATCTCTGCTCACCCCGGTGGCCAGGCCCTGCAGATGCAGAGCCCTCTGCCCTGGGGCTGGGGACGGCCAGGCCCTGCAGATGCGACCCCCACCCACTGCTCATGAAGCCCCCCCCCCCCAGGAAACCCCGGGGAAACCCGTGAGCGGCGCAGAGCAGAAGCCTCCCGAGGGCGCCTCGGTCAGCTCAGGTCATCCAGAGCCCCGTAGTTCTGGGGAGGGACAAGGTGGGTGGCCCCAGAGCGGAGGCTGAATCCAGGAGCCCCTCCCTCCCAGCCCAGGACGCCCTTTCCTGGAGGCAGTGGAGGGCAGCGGACCGGGCTGCGAGTCCGACGGGGAGGGCGCAGGGGGGCTGCCGACGACGTCACCTTCCCCGGGCGCCTCCGAGGATGGGATAATCTCTCCCGAGAAGAGGAAAGAATTCTAATTACACCTCAGGACAATGTTTGTTTGGGGGGATGAGAGACAGGCATATGGCGGGGACGCGCGGGGCCACACGCAGGGGATTTGCCTTCTCCTCCGCCTGGTGCCTGGCGGGCGCGGGGCTGGGCTCTGCGGGGCGGGCCAGCTGCGGGCCCTGGGAGCTGGTGGGGGGACCGCAGGCGGCGGGGGTGGCTCCCATGGCACCCCAGGTGCCCCGAGACGATAGAGAAGGATCTCCCTTCAATGTAGGCAGAGTGCCAGGGACCGTGCAGCCCCGGGAGCTGCCACCGCTGGTGACAGAGTGAACACAGAGGGGTGGTAGGGGTCCTGCCCAGAGCCGGCCTCTCGAGGGGCCAACTTGGAGCTGAACAGGACTGAGGTTGGCTGGGAGTGGCTCCAGCCTCCGGGCCTCCTGGCCTCCTTGCTCACCAGGTCCTGTGCAGCCCCTGCCCCCATCCTGCACAGCAGCCGAGCTTGGGGAGAGGCCCAGGTCACAGTGTGGCATCCTTTGCCGGCACTGCACGCTCTGCCCGCCCCAGTGGCCTCGCCAGGTGCCCCACCTGAGGCCGGCCACGCCCACCAGACCCCCCTGCAGCCCTCGGGGGCACTGTGGGTTCCTGAGCGGCACTCCTCCCCCGTTTCTCGCACAGCCCTGTTCACAGAGACGCCCCACGACATGACAGCGCGGACCGGCGAGGACGTGGAGATGGCCTGCTCCTTCCGCGGCAGCGGCTCCCCCTCCTACTCGCTGGAGATCCAGTGGTGGTACGTGCGGAGCCCCCGGGACTGGGCCGACAAGCAGGCCTGGGCCTCCAACCAGGTAACGCCCTGAGCCGCTGGGCACTGGGGCCCACCCAGACCCCTGGGCCGGTGTCCGCTGCCCCCACCTCCTTGAGGGACCCAGGGCCGCCTGTCGCCTTCCACGGCACCCAGCTGTGCTCCTCTCTGCTACCCCAGCCCCCGGCCCTCATAGGGTTCCAGTGTGGGGGCTGACAGTTAGGAGGGGGCAGGAGGAGACCTCGGCTGAGCCCCCAGAGGCCACAGGGGAAGGGCCCTCCAGAGAGCACAGAGGCCCTCCCCTTGGTGCAGGACGGGATACCTGGCCAGAGGGACAGCGGCTGGTCCAGGTCACAGGCAGCTATTTTGCAAAGGGCTCTGCAGTCGCAGAGTCCCCTCCCAAGTTCAAGCTCCAGCACCCATGCCCAGCCCCCTGTCACTGCCCACACCCTGTCTCCACGTGCATCCCCACCACAGCAGACCTGGGCCACCTCGCACACTCCTGCCCACTGCTGTGACTGCCTGGGGGTCCCTCTGGACTGTTGGCACAGCCTGCTGGCAGCCAGCACTAGGAGCAGCCCACACTGGGGGCTGGCAGGGCTGGAGGGGAACACCCCCAGGTCCCTCGATCTAAGAGTGTCTGTGCTTCTGCAAAGGTGCCCCAGTGTGACTGGCGCAGCCACCCCCACCCGCCGCCCTCTCCACTGACCCTCCTCCCCTGCCATCAGCTTCCCCCCTCTGTCCTCTCACCCCCTCACACCAGCTGCTACTGGAGTCCCCTCCTGCCACTGGCCTGTCTTCAGTGGCCTCCCAGATAAACCACGGGCATCTGTGTCTTTGTCCCCGGGGCTGCTTCCCAAGTCACATCCTCACACACGCGTGGGTGGCGCGGGTGGGTGTGCAGGGGGCCTGGGCCCACACACGGACACATGCGGTCCACGCCCTCACAGCCACCTCCCTGTCCACACAAGTGCACGCTCTGCCTTGCTCTCGTTCCAGTCCCCGGCTCTCCAGCCACACACAGGCTAGGGGACCTGACAGCCAGAGAGCCTGTGGGAGAGGAGTTTGGCTGGTCTCTGCAGGTGGCCGCTCCAGGTCATCCTGCGAAGACTCGCGGGGGAGGGGCTCCAAGGGCATTGGGGCACCTCCCCACGCAGACCCGCTGCAGAGGGACCAGGGACAGACACAGGTGGTGTCAACAGCCCTGCTGCCACAAGAGCAGACACTTGCCCTTTTGCTTGTCCACACCCCTTTCCGACCCAAACACCCCGACAGACCCGAGCCCTCAGGCTGCGTGGTCAGTTCCTTGCATCTCCTTCGTCACCTGTGTTCCGACCCCCACCCCTGCCCCTGAGGGACACAGAGCTGGAAGACTCCTGGCTCCCGCCCTGGTGGCCCTGCATGTCTTCTGCTGTGGCTGACCACCATCTCTTCTAACTCACTTTCCATTAGGATTTTAATTTTTGTCTGAAGCTATTGCCCGTGCAGCTGACGGGGCTCGGCAGGCTCCCCCCCAACCCCCAGCATGATCAGCCTCCCTCTGCCACCATCTTAACTGTCCCCTGCACCCACCCTTGATGTGTCCCTGACCCCCACCCAGGCTAACACCTTGTCTCTGCTCTCTCTGCCACCCCCCCCCATCCCACAGCTAAAAGCTTCTCACCAGGAGGACGCAGGGAAGGACGCCACCAAAATAAGTGTGAGTTCTGATAATGACGTCTCCCAAGGGCTCTGGGCCAGGGCGCCGGGAACTTTAATTTTTTGTTGTTGTTGTTGTTGTTCATTTCCTTGGGGAGGTTAGGCAAGAAGATGGAGGAGAAGAGAAACAGAAGGGGAAAAAATGGCCCTGCTTGGTTTTTTAAAAGCCAGAGATTTTTCAAGTTCATTGAATGACAGGCACAAAAAATGACAAGGGAGAGAAGACGCATCCCTCTGTCGGCTGGGCCGCGCCTGCGCTTCATGGGAACCAACAGCACCTAACGGGACTGAGTGGCTTCTGTGGGCCCACATGACTGACAGCCACAGCATCTCGGGGCCCCTGACTCCCTGGGTCCCTTGGATGATCTGGCTCCAGGGGCGGGGACTGCAGGACCCCGTGGCCTTCTTAGACATTCACCTTTTTTTTCTGTAGTAGGGACTGAACCCAGTGGCACTGAACCACCGAGCCACATCCCGGCCCTTTTCTGTTTTCATTTGGAGACAGGGTCCCCCTGGGTTGCCGAGGGCAATGCTCCCTCACTAAGTGGCTGAGGCTGGTCTGGAACTTGCCATCCTCTGCCTCAGCCCCCCACATCCCTGGGATTTCAGGAGTGCGCCACTGCGTCCAGCTTTCCAAGGACAAATGGGGAAGCTCAGGACCCCAAGTCCACTTAGACAGATGCACGGAGAAGCTGTCGTGAGCCACAGGTCGGAGCTTGGAGCATGGACACCAGGGTGGAGTCTGGCCTTCAGGGTGGAGGCCAGGGAGGAGGCTCCTGCAGCCACTCAGGCGAGAGGTGGGTGAAGGCCAGAGCAAGGACATTCAAAGTACACTTGGTCCTGGGTGGCCTTAGGCAGAGCTGAAGTCCAGAAATTCCATCCAGCCCAAGGTGGCTAAGTTCCACTCCCTCCCCTCCGGCTCTGGCTGTCACCCTCTGCCCAAGGCACATCCATGTCTGATGCCCCATTTCTTGCCCAAATATACATCAGCCGGGCAGATGGAGACCTGTGGGAGGGGGCGTGAATGCACCCCCTTATTGAAACCCCCTGTTTTGTGATTTTGTCTGTGGGTTCAGAGCAGCTCAGGCAAAGGAGACACTAATCTAATTGATTTAGAGGATTATAATTTGAGGCTTCTGGGCCCACGTGAGGGGAATGCAACGATGCTAATTAGTGAAATCAAATAAGTGCGCTCAGCGTGAGGGTGGCAGTCATCCCAGCCCTACCCCCTGCCCTCCTGCCCCAGCTGGGGCCCTGAGGAGCTGGTCAGCAAAGATCCCTGCCCAGCCCTGGTGCAGGGACTCCGCTGTCCCTAAACCCCACTGGCAGAGTTGGCAGCACCCGCCAGCCGCCCCGCACCCTGGGTTCCTGCAGTCAGTCGCAGGAGAAGGCTTGGACTTCTCTGTGGCCTTCAAGGCTCTGCGTGATTGCTTGCCCAGCCTGGGCTTGTCCCATCCTGCTTCACGGCACTCCCCCCCTGCCCCTTCCCATGCCCCTTCCCATGCCCCTTCCCATGCCTCTTCCTGCCTTTGCAGGGAGAAAGCTTCCTCCCCCTCCCCCCACACCTGGCGACAGCTGCAGCCCCTTACTCTGCCCACCTCTGGCTGCATTTCTATCCATAACAATCCATCCTGGGCTTATTTGCTCCCTGTCCCTCTCCCCAGAGACGGTGGCCCGAGTCTGTGTCTGCCTGATCCCTGGCCACATTTCCAGGGCCTAGAAGAGAGCCCGGCACAAAGTAGGTGCCCATAAATGTTCACTGGTGACAGTCACACTCACATCCATGCAGCCAACGTGCATGTAGCAGATGCTGTACAGGGACATGCCACCATGGCTCGAGTCTGCCATGCCTGAGGCGTATGTGTATGACTAGGCAGGGACCTGGGGGACCAGGTCCCATAGCTGCAGGGGTAACAGGCAATCCATCCAGGCAGGGATCCAGACCTCACATGCCCATGTCTTCTAAAAACACCAAGTTTGATGGGATATTGCCTGGATATATATATATATATATATATATATATATATATTTTTTTTTTTTTTTTTTTTTTTTTGTTTTTTTGTACTGGGGACGTTGAACCCAGGGGCACTTTTGTCCCTCAGCTACACCCCCAGCCCTTTTTATTTTCTATTTGAGTCGGGGCCCTCCTAAGTGCTGAGGCTGGACTTGAACTTGCGTTCCTCCTGCCCCAGACTCCCAGGTCACGGGGATTACAGGCCCACCCCAGCGCCTGGCTTGAAGGGAGATCTGGCTTGATTTTTAAGTGTTGTGACCTAATTTGATCTTTTGAAAAACACCCAACAGAGAAGTCTAGAATTTGGGCAGTGGCAGAGCCTGTGGGGTTCCGGGTTCTTGGAGGAGGAAGTGCGGGTCATGTTCAGCGAGCCTGGCTGGGGGTGGGGGTCATCTGACCTGTAGCTCAGTGGTGCAGGCCGATAATTCCAGAGACTCAGGAGGGGGCGAGAGGATTGAAAGTCTGAGGCTAGTCTGGGCAATTTAAGGAAACCCTGTCCAAAATAAAACAATAAAAGGGCCAGGGATGGGGCTCGGGCCTTGCCTGCCATGCACGAGCTCTTGGTTCCGTCACCAGGACCACCACCAAAAAAAAAAAAAAAAAAAGACCCCTGTAGGGGTCACCATGTGAACCTTGGGAAGGTCAGGCTGTAATGAAAGCAGGGTAGGGATGGCGAGGACATTGTGGGGTTAGCACTTAGCGTCCCAGGAGCTGCGTCCTGGCTCCACTCTGCCACCTCCTGTGCCTCCATTTCCCAAGTTAGCTGTGGTCTAAGCCATAGAAGAAAACACTTTGGAGTGCTGTGGGTCTGGCTGTGAATGGCAGGGGTTACCAGGGTGGAAACTTGTTAACACGTATTTATGAATCCTAAGACTCCTTTTCCTACTGTGAGAAGGAAACCAGACAAGGGAAGGAGAAGAACCCAGAATCTTATAGTGAGATCATTCATATGGGAGGGCGGGCATCTGTGAAAAAATAAGAATAATACAGTAATAATAGAGCAGCTAACATTTATCGAGTGCTTACCATATGTCAGGAACCTTGATGAGCACTTTACATGAATTATCTCACTTAACTCAGGCCCAGGGAGGGACCCCTGGCCTAGCAATGTCTCCCCTGGTGGCCAGCAGATGCTAAGGATTCCACCGGTGGGATGGGCCTCATCCTGCGGCTTGGACAATCCCTTCTGCTTATTGGTCATTTTCAAGCTCTGGAAGTTTCTCTCTTTATCTAACTAAAGTCCTTTGTACTGGAGTTTAAATTGATTTCCCCTTAGTCGGTTTTGAAAGTAGACTCTGATTTCCTAATTTTAAGAAATTCTCCACCCTCCCCAGGGGGACTTCATCACCCTAAGGTGATGGTTGAGGACCACAGTAAATAGGTTCCTCCAGGAAGGCCCTGGCCACCCGCACAGCCCCTGCCCGCTGTGTGCTCCCAGGCCAGGGTGGGAGACAGGCATCATCCAGTCACCACACACCACAAAGGAAAATGAGTGGCCATCAAAACCCAGGAGGGGAGCTGCTGGCCCGAGCCTGCCTGGGGTGAGCAGGGGTGAGTCCCCATGGGTCCCGTCCACCACTGTGGGCAGCCATCGAGAGTCTCCCAGGCTGAGGCACTTTGACAGGCTCTGTCTGGCGTCAGGGAGGAACAGATGGAAAGGGCCAGATAGCTCTGCAGAGACAGGAGAGGCTGGGCGGTGACCCAGATGTGAGGAGGTGGACCTCTCCGTGGCCAGTGCAGGGGGATTGGTTCTGCCATTTGGAGGAAGGTCAGAGGTGGTGTGGGGGTTAGATTTTGTGGAGGGATGAACCTGGCTGGGTCTGGCTGGAGCAGGTGAGGCCTTCGGGGCCCAGGATTGGGGAGACCCCAGGTGGGTTCTGAACATGCCGAGGGGCTGGTGAGACAACTGGGTGTGTTGGATGGAGGCTCAGAGCAGGGTAGGCACCTGACCCCTGCTCCCCATCCCACACCGTCCCTGGGGCCACACAGAGGCAAGGTTGGCCCCAGGGGCACAGATGGGCACTGCCCTCCTCCCTGGGGGAAGGAAGAGCTGGCCAGGGTGTCTCCACGGGGCCTAGGCCGAGGGTGAGCATGAGGGAGCCTGAGCTCGGTCACGGCCAAGACTTGGCCTCATCCCTTTCAGCATAATTAGGTACTTAATTGCACCAGGAAGGCCTGTCGATGCCGGTGCCCAGGTGATTATGATTTACAGCCAGGCTGCTGTGGGGGCCTCCGCTCTCCCTGGCCACTCAGGCCCACTGGAGGCTGGGCCAGGAGGTTTTTTGTGCAATTTGTGATGATGAAACTCAACCGACTGTTCCCCTACCCTCCAAAAATATCTGGCACAGAATGATGGGGCCCCTCCAATGGGCTGGGCTCCCCAACACGTGGAGCCTGGGGCCTGGGAAATGAGGTGGGGATGGGAAGATGGGCTGTTCATAGGAGGTTCCCAGGCCGTGGCTAAGGCCTGGCCTCTGTCACCAGCTGGTGGCCTTGGGGAAAACCACAGCCCTCTCTGGGACTCACTCTGCTCCCCCATACGATGGGCTTGCTACCCGTGCCCCTCGTGGGGTGATGGTGAGGTGTCGGTGAGATGGGTGGGGTTGGCGCAGTGCCCAGTGCTCCATGGACATCAGTGACCCGCTCTGCCAACCCTGTCCTGGTGTCCTGACCGAGGCAGACCCCAGGGCTGCAGGTCTGCACGTCTTGGTCTCTGGCTTCCTTCGTCAGCCCTGGAGGCGCTGCTGGGTGTGGCTGGTTCACAGCTGGGTGCAGCTGGGAGGAGGCGCTGGCTAAGTTGTTGAGTGAATGTCTGAACGCAAAGCCCAAGCGAAAGGTCGGGGCGCGGGACCAGGCAGGGTCAGAGAGCCCGGCCCCTGCGCAGTGCTCCCGGCCCCGCCTCCCTCGGAGGGGAGGAGCCCCTCGGGCAGGGCGGGGCCTGAAGGGGCGTGGCTTGGGCGGGGCGGGGCGGGGCGGGAGGGGCGTGGCTGCGGGCGGGGCGGGGCGGGAGGCGGCGGGCTCCCTCCCTGGGAGCCGGTTCCCAGCGCCTCGCATTATTACTCCATTAGCGCCTTGTAGGGTTGACAAATGAAGGATAATTAATATCCGTGAGGGAAACAGCTGTTGAGGTAATTCGCTCCCGCTGCGCATTTGCAACAGCGGCTCCTAACTCGCCCGGGAGCTGAGGACGCGCCCACTCGGTGCCCTTGGTCGGGGTGAGCGAGTCAGGGCGGGGTTGGCTCCACTGGGCCGGCCCTGGGGAAGGGACACCCACTCCAAGAGGGACAGCTGCCAGAATTCCCCTCTGCTTGCCATTGGGAAGTTCTGCCTGTGTCCCGCCTCTGTACCTCCTGCTGTACCATCAGCCCATGTTTTCCTCGTTGGAAGGGGTGATGACCAGCAGGAAGGCTCTGCCTAAGGGAGGTTGGGCCCTGCTCCCTGCTGCAGCCCACCAACCCTCTCACCTTCGGGAGCCAAGGAGCTCCCCTGTGGCCCTGCCAGCTCTGGGTGACCCTTTGTGGGCCTGGCACACAGTTTCAAGGGTGAGAGTGCATGGAGTCCAGGCTGGGTTCAGTCCTCAGCTCTGCCACTCACGGTCGGGGGCTCCTGGACCAGTCCCCCCCTCGGCTTTCCCCCCTGGGAAGTGGGTGTGCTTGTGGGAATGTGGGGAGCCCACTCACTCAGCAATTTACCTGGCCCCTGGCTTTGGGGTGATAAGCAGGGGCACCTACCCAGGGCCCAAAGCTGGGCTCCCTCCCCCTCCCGGAGATGGGGCTTGGCAGGAACAGGCCAGCCTGTAGCCACAGAAGAGAGGGACCAGCAGAGCTCAGGGCTGGGCCTGGTCTGAGGCCCCCAGACAGCCAGTGGGTGTCAGATCTTAGAAGGAAGTGGCTGGGGAAGGGGCTCACTAGCCGAATGTTGGGGACTGATCTCCATCACTCTGTCCAGGAGGAGCTGGGCTTCTTCCAGCCATGAGAAGAGGCCCGGGAAGAACGGAAGCCCCTCCCACCACCACCACCCGCTCCAGAGACTCAACTTTCCCCTCCTCTTTTCTAAAACTGTTTTTCAGTGCTGGGGATTGAGCCCAGGACCTTGGGCATGCTAGACAAGTGCTCCACCTCTGAGCTACATCCCCAGTCTTTTTCTCTAAAACTTTTTATTTTGAGTTATAGACTCACAGAAAGTTGCAAAAATAGATCATAGAATCTCCTGTACCCTTTGCTCAGCTTCCGCAATGGTGTATCTTACTTAATTATCCAACTCCTTTTTCTCTCTGAATTGAAAAGAAAAAAAACAGCAGGGTTATATTCATGGCATATTTAATCATAAGAGTACTAATCTGGAAACTACCCAAATGTCCATCATCAGGTGACTAGATAGGCAAGTTATGTGGTCATCCAATGGAATAGTACACACCGATGAAAAAGAACTGACAGACACATGTACCAACACAGAGCTATCTCATGATATTATGTTGTGTCAAGGAAACCAGACACAGCCAGGAATCCCCTATCAAAGAATTCCAGAAAGACTAAGCTCTGGTGATAAAAGTGGCAATAGTGCTTGGCCCTAGTTGGGGGTTAGTATTGACAAGGGAGGGGCACCAGGGAATGTTCTAGAAGGCTACAGATGTTGCATGCCTTGCTCTGGATGGTTGCTACACAGGCATACAAAAAATTTCATCAAGCCGTGTGTACCTAAGTTCAATTTTAAAATACAAATTAAAAACCCTGGGCTGGGGCTGTAGCTCAGTGGTAGAGCACCTACCTTGCACGTCCGGGGCCCTGGGTTCCATCCTCAGCACCACATGAAAATACATAAATAAAGACATTGTGTCCACCCACGACAAAAAAAAAAAAGTTTAAAAAAAAAACCCAATCAAATAAAACTAACCAACAAAGCCAAAGCTTTTCAAAGACAGACATAAAAACACTCGTGCCCCGACCCTTGATAGCGCCCTAATATATTTGCAGTCGGTCTTTATTTTAAAGAACTAGTACCTTTCAGGTGAGAGGACTTCACCTTGACGACTACCCCGGGCCACCCCTCCCTGTGCGGCCAGAGTCACCCCTGCCAGGAGGCTGAGCAGGCGCTGGGTTTCCTTCTGTTTTTGAACCTCTACATACAAAAGACTGCGGAGCCAGTTTGTTGTTTACTTACATGGCCTCCACCATGGAGCCCAGGGCCTCGCTGCTAGGCAAGCCGGTTTATTTAGCCATTCTGTTGATGGACATTTTCCTGTCCGTCTGTCTGTCTGCCTCTCTCTGGACGGGGGTGGAGACGGGTATTGGGGGTTGAACCCAGGGACACTCGACCACTGAGCCCCATCCCCAGCCCTACTTTGCATTTTATTTAGAGACAGGGGCTCACCGAGTTGCTGAGCGCCTCGCTCTTGCTGAGAGGCTGGCCTTGAACTCGCCATCCTCCTGTCTCAGCCTCCTGAGCTGCTGGGGTTGCAGGCGGGCGCCACCTGCTCATTTTCCTCCTCTTTTCGTTTGCAACTTAACTCGCTCTCGTGCACACCTTGGCTGCCCTCGTGGGAGTCCCCGGGGTCCCCCACGTTGGGCTGGGACCCGGGTGGCGCCCCCGGCCCCGCCCCTGCCGCGGGCGGACGGGTCACGGTCTCTCTGTCGCCCCCAGGTGGTCAAGGTGGTGGGCAGCAACATCTCCCACAAGCTCCGGCTGTCGCGGGTCAAGCCCACGGACGAGGGCACCTATGAGTGCCGCGTGATCGACTTCAGCGACGGCAAGGCCCGGCACCACAAGGTCAAGGCCTACCTGCGGGTGCAGCCCGGCGAGAACTCGGTCCTGCACCTGCCCGAAGCGCCTCCGGCCGCGCCCGCCCCGCCGCCGCCCAAGCCGGGCAAGGAGCTGCGGAAGCGCTCGGTGGACCCCGAGGCCTGCAGCCTCTAGCCCGCCCGCGGTACAGAGTGCATGAGGGCCGCCGGGCGCTGGGGACAGGACTGCCTGCGGCCGCCTCCCGGCCCGCGGCGCCGCCGGCCTCTGCCCAGCACCCCGCTCAGCATGTGACCCCGCCCGCCCCCCAGACCCCGCTCCCCGGCTCGGAGAAGGTGGTCCAGGGCTCCAAGGGGACACGCTCTGGGCGCTGGGATGGGGACCATGCCAGGCCTGGGCTTCCCCTCTCTGTCACCAGCTTCAGTGGAGTCCCGTGTTTTGCTTTGCTTGCTTGTCCCCACCCTGTCCTGAGCCGGGCCTCCCAGCCTTATCGCCCTCCCTCCTGTGGTCCCCGCTTGGCCCTGGGGTGTGGACAGTGACCCCTCCCGACTCTGGCCTCGAATCCTCTGAACAGAGCTTGAGCCTCTTCCCTGGTGAAGAACTGGGGCGGGAGCCCCCAGGAGAGCCTTTCTGGGGTGGGGTGGCCCGCAGCAGGGCCACTCACAGGACCCTGGGAGACCCGTGGGGTACCCTCCCTGAGGCCCTTCCTGGTCAGCTTCTTTATTCCTGAAGACGCCCCGGCTTCCCTTCCAGGGCGGTGGGATCCAGGGACCTGCCTGATCACATAGCCCCTGGGAGGTCCCCGCTGCCCCAGGGCCCCACGCAGAGTTTGCACCAGCAGGACCCCGTCCAGGGTCTTCGAGGCTCTTAGGAGCCCCCCTCTGCCAGCCCCCAATGTCCCAGCCCCCTCTTGGATCCTGCCAAGTCTACCCAGGGGCCTGGGACTGTTGAGAGCCAAGGGCCCCCCTCCACCAATTCCCTCACCATTCCAGATCAGGGGGACACCCACCCTGGTGAGTTGTAAATATTTCTATTGGGCCCACCACCCCACCCCCACCCCGGGAACTGGCTCAAACCTCTGGCCGCCCTCAGCGATGGTCCGGGTGTGGGAGAGGCCCAGGGCTTGCCTAGGGGTGAGTGGGTCGCTCTGTACACATGATCCAGTCTGTGACTACCAGCCACCTGAATAAAGCTGTTTAAAACAAATCCAGGCAGCAGCGTCTTCCTGGGAGATTGTCAGATGGAGCAGGGAGGTGACAGACAGCCAGTCCCCACCCAAGCAGCATCTGGCTCTGCTCCGTCCCCATGCAAGCAGGGCCTGGCTTCTTCACAGAGCATAGGAGCTGGCGGGGGCTGGAGGAGAGTTCCAAGGGGAATCCACACTTGTCCAGCTCCAATCCAATTACCCGACACTCGGATTATTATTTGATTCTGAGATACGCATCCAGGAGAGAGCACACAGCATGTTTACACTGTTTTGTGAATAATTATAAAGAAAACACACACGTAGCCACCACTTGTCAAACATATCCCACCAGCCCCATGTTTCTTCCCAATCATTTCCCCTCCTTCTCAGAGGCAAACACAATACTGACTTTTTTTGTTTTGTTTTTGGGTCCTGAGGGTTGAACCCAGGGGCACTTAACTCTGAGCCACATCCCCAGCCCCTTCTAGTTTGTATTCTGAGTCAGGGCCTCACTAAGTTGCTTAGGGCCCCTCTAAGTTCTGAGGCTGGCTTTGAACTTAGCTCCTGAATCAGCCTACACTATTGACTTAATCACCATCCCAGTATTCTTTTTATAGGTTTAATACCTATGTGTATGTCACTTTAAACAAAATATTTTCTGATTTGTTCATTTTTTGCCAACTTACTTGTCTGCCCTGCGGTTGACAGGAGTGTGGAGTGTGTGCCCTCGTTGGCCCATTACCACACACGCTCTGGCCCATGAGTCCTGTGTCTTGGTGCAATCCCTGTGCGTCACCACAGCAACCTCCATTGCACCCTGAGTTTTCAGATGAGGACACCGAGGTTCAGAATGGACGGGGGCATGGATGGAGACGCGAGCACACGGCTGGGGACAGGCAGGGCACTGGGCCTGTTGCAGAACACAGATGTCCCAGGGCTGTCTGGCTACTCCTCAGGCCAGTAGCTAGCCTTTATCCAACAAATAGGGTCCCTTCCAGAAATGTCCAAGAGCAAAGCTGGCCCTGGAAGGCCCCGGTTCCTCTGAGAGGGCCTGGGGGGACCTGGCTTGTCTGGAGTGACAACAGCTGTCACCCAGCCCCAGACCGACTCTGCTCCAGGTGAAGGGCTTTCTACAGGAAATGCCAAGATTACACGGAGCTGCCCGTGTCCCCTCTCCAGCCCCTTTCTCCCCTGGAAGGATTTTTTTGCTCCCCTGGGAAGGTGGACCTGGCAGGGTAAAGGGCTGGGTTAGAACCCCGCCCCTGCCCCCCTTGCCGCAGGGCCTCAAGCAGCGCTCCTAACCCCTCTGGGCCTCAGTTCCCTTTCTTGTCGGCTTCCAGGGAAATAAATGCAAGTCCATACCCAACTGAGCTCACACAGAGCAGCAGGGCTGGGATCACAAAGGCAGTGAGTGCAGGTGAGGACGTGGAGGAGCTGGATCCTTCACCCGCTGCTGGTGGAGACCTGACCCAGCTGCTGCAGATAACCTCAGACAGGTCCTGGGGGTGTCAATCGCAGGGGACTGAAGACAGACAGTCTGCACAAACCCTATGAAGGAATATTCAAGCAGCATTATCACGACAGCCCGGGATGGGAAGAACACAAATGTCGGGGCATTGAGAAGTGGCCAAATAAAACATGCTCCATCCAGACAGTGGAGTATTATTTGGCAATAAAAAGAAGAGGTATTCTGAGCCACGCTCCATCACAGATGGACCTTGAGAGCATCCTGCTGGGTGAAAGCAACTAGACACAAAAGCCGCCATACATGGAGTCATACGAAATGCCCAGAATAGATAAATCCATAGAGAGGAAAGTCAGGTGGGGGGCATCCCGGATGGAGGCGGAGCGAAGCTCCTACTAAGGCGAACGGGTTTCCTCTGGGGACGATGCCCGTTTCTAGAGTTGACTGTGGTGGCGGCTGCCCAATGGTGTGAATAGACTGAAAGCCATTGAGCGGATTCCCCAGATGGGTGAGCGGCAGTGGGCTGGGAATTCCATCTCAGTAAAGCTGTCACAAGACACAGGGTGCTCCTTACCGCGGCCTGTGCGCATGTGCCCACACTGGGCGCTTGGCAAGCGCTTGGCAAGCGCTTGGCCAGCGCTTGGCAAACCCCGGCTCCTATGGATACTGCTGTGGTTTTATGTAAAGGCTAGAGCCACGTTGGGCTTGGCCTCAGGGTGCAACTGAAGGTGACCGCTGGGGGGTGGGGAGAGGGAAGAAAAACACAAGGGGGGGGGGGGAGTTCCTGAAGGTGGTACCCAGGCCAGTCCCGAAGGGTCAGGAAAACCTCTGCGCACCGCCAGGGCAGCTGCAGGCCTCTGTCCCCTTGAGCCCCAGCATAAGAATAACCTGGGGAGGACCAGGGGTGTGGCTCAGGGGTAGAGGCTCACCCAGCTGCCTAAGGCCCTGGGCTCAAGCCCTAACACTGCAAAACCCGAGGGCCCAGGCGGAGTGGCATGTGCCCATAGTCCCAGCTACTTGGGAAGCATGAGCCTGGGAATTCAGGGCCAGCCTGGGCAACTTAGTGGGGTCCGTCCCACAAAGAAAAGAAGAACCCCGGGGCTGGAGTTGTGGCTCAGCGGCAGAGCGCTTGTCTAGTATAGGAGAGGCCCTGGGTTAGGTCCTCAGCACCACATAAAAATCAATAAGTAAAATAAAGGTATTGTGTCCAATTACAACTAAAAAATAAATATTAAAAAAAAAATAAAGAATATCCTGAGGCAGGGTGGACTTGCTGTAAAATTCAATGTTCAGAGCCCCTCTTGGCCTTCAGACTTCCACTTCTATAGACAGCTTGTGACCCGGAGGTAATGATACATCTTGATGACGGCTCCCCATGTTTGTGTGTTTTGTGGTGCTGGGAATTGACTCCTGGGCTTTTTGCATACTAAGCAAGCACTTTGTCACTGAGCTACATCCCCAACCCTTCACATGGGTTTTTAATGGCGGTAGATCATCCCATCAAAGAGGCAAAGCAAGATTTAGCCAGTCCCCAAATGATGAACACTTGGGTTGTTTCCAATTGTGTGCTCTTATAAATAATGTTGCAATGAACTTCCTAGATGATCAATCTTTGCACATACCTGCAAATGCATTTGTAAGATAAATATTATCTAGAAGTTAGAATTTCTGGGTCAAAGGGTTTGTGCATTCTTAATTTTGGCAAATTACTTTCCATAGAAGTTGGACCAATTTACACGCCCACAAACAGTGTGCAAAAATGTGTACCTGGTCCTCCCCCCTCCCCCCCACCTCGACTGCCCCAGAGTCAAGTGTTTTGATCCTGGGTCATCTTCTGAGTAAGCTGTCATCTTACAGTGGTTTTGATTTGCAGGCTTCATTTTTACCCTTTTCCTCCCTTCCCCTCCCTCTCTCCCTCCCTCCCTCCTTTCTCTCCCCTCTCCTTCCTTCCTCCCATTTTCTCTCTTGTGCTGGGGGTGCCCTGGCTATGCTAAGCCTGTGCTCTACCCCTGACCACACCCCCAGCTCCTGTTCTTATCAGACTGGATTTTTTTTTCTTTCCTGCTGGGAATCAATCCCAGGGCCTCAGACATACTTCGAAAGGCTCTGTCCCTGAGCCCCAGGCCTGCATTTAAAAACAAATTTTTTAAAAGAACCATTTGTACTTCTTTTTCTGGGAACTGACAGCTCAGAATCTTTGTTTCTTTTTCTATTTGCTTGTTGGCTGGCATCTTATTGATTTGGGGCAACTCTGTGAGATGAATTTCAAACATTTGTCTGTCCCCTTTTTTTTTTATTTTAACTTGGCTTTTGGTATTTTTTTTCCCAAGTAAAATATTTCTTATTGTTAAGTACTCTATACCTATTTATCTTTTATCGTTTCTGAGTTATCTTTCACTTACATAAATGTAAATTTGACCTTTGGGAATTTAAATTATTTTATGGTATGACGTAGGGTCCTAATTAATTTTGTCTAGGTTTTTAACTTTTTCTATATCATCCCAGTTTCATTTATATTTTTCCCACTGATTTGAAACCCCACCATTATCATACCCCAAACTCCTACCAGAGTTTGGACTGACTGCTTTTCAAAACTTTTTTCTGCTTCCTTCATCTCATCCAAGAGTCAGCACCATACTGTTTTAATTACTACAGTTTTGTAACAAATTTCAATGTATTCTAAGTCCTTCTGTTTAAATTTTGTTTCCAGAATTTGCCTGCATTCCTCCTCACTTTTCTATGTGAACTAAAATCATCTTAAGTAGTTAAAAAAATCCAACAGTTATATTAGTTAGGATTACATTAACTTCATAAATTAACACAGCAAAAACTTGCATATTCGTGGTTTATGTCTCAACATTCCCCTCCCTGGTGGGTCCTCTCACTTTAAGATTTCTCTTTGTGGGCTGGGGTTGTGGCTCAGCAGTAGAGCGCTCGCCTCGCAGGTGGGAGACCCTGAGTTCAATCCTCAGAACCACATACAAAAATAAACAAGTGAAATAAAGGTGTTGTGTGCAAATACAACTAAAAAAATAATAATATAAAAAATTAAAAAAAGATTTCTCTTTGTGTGTTTCTTCCAAGAGTATTTTAGGAATAATATGGATGTTTGGATGAAGAGAAGGATGTACAACTGCATAGATGTGTGATAGACATGTGGTTTGGTATAGATAGTGTGTTTGCGAAATAAAAATATGTTAATTGTAGAATCAAGGTGGTAGTTTTATGGGTGTTCTCTGTACCATTATTTCAACTTTATGTTTTATGTTTTAATAATGAGCTTTTGAGGGAAGAGAGAACATTTAGAAGTTTTCTTCCATGCTGAGTGCAGTAGCATATGCCTGTAGTCCCAACTACTGGGGAGGCGGAGGCTTGAGACCCTTTGAGCCCAAGAATTGGAGACCAACCTGGGCAACATAGTAGGGCCTCATCAGAGATAAGTCAGGGAAAGAAATTTTCTTTCTTGAAATTTTTCTTGTTGTTGTCACTGTTGGCTGATGTTCTGTCTTCTAACAGGTTGTTGTTTATATAAATGTGAAGGCATTTGGTTTCTGT